AGTTCCTTTCTCTTGGCTAAATATTGCCACTTCCCTCAACTGCTCACATGACAGGTTTCTAGTCCCTTCTCAGGCTGATTCCCTCCCTTATAAACTCACTCCAGACCATCTGTCTCTCCTGAAAAATAGTAACCAAGAGCAAACCCAAAATAGACCTGTGCAGAGGTGAACCTCCTTCGTTCTGTACATTATTTCCCTAAAAATGCAGCCCAAGGAAGTCTTCCTATTTTGATCATGGGCTTAGGTCTACACTCTGTTGTCAGCATTAACTTATGTTTATTTCTCCCCAGTGTCTGTGGAACAGACTAGTGCCTCACTCAAGGGCTGCTGGTCACAGCATCTCAGCCAGCCCGGAGCCCCAGGGAGGGGCCTGGACTGATTTGCCTCTTTCCAGGGAGCCCCAGCATGAGCATCTTCTACCTCACCCAACAAAGTAGGGTGTGTCTACTACCGGGACCAAAGGATTTCTGGAAACATTCCTTTAAGACAGAGAGCTGCCCCAACATAGTCAACAAGTAATTGAGTTTGCAAAAATGTGACTTAGGTATGTCCTTTGCCTAACGGATGAACCACCTGAAGCTCTCCCTACATTGCCAGGCTGGCATTTATAATCAGGAATTCCTTCACATGTCAGGGACAGGAGGCCAGGGACCCAGTGGGGAAACCAGGGGTGGGGGTGTGGGGAAGTGATGGCAAGGTCAAAGGCAGGGGTAACTCACCTCTTGAAGCATCTGAAGCTGCCTGAATGTAGCTCTCCTGAGAAATGGGGAAGAAGACTCGGTTAATATGGGCCCAATGCAGAGATAGCCAGTGTCCCCGCAGTAAGGGGAGAGGGCTTGCTGGGGGAGCAACACAGGCCCAGGGGAGTTGCCCTCGCTGGGCATGGAAAAGTGGGTGACTTTGGCACCAACCAGGTCAACCTGTGTTTGAATCCTATCTCTTCTACTCACTACCTGGGAGATCTTGGGCACGTTAACTAACCTCTCTGAGCCTTGACTTTCTCATCTGCAGTACGGGGATGAGAACAATCGCCTCACAGGGCTATTATTAACATGCCGTGGGGTAACATGAAAGCACGCAGCATGGTGCCTGGCCCAGAGATCTTAGTTCCCATCAGGCTGATTTGGATTAGGATGAATTTCTGTCTCTATTGGACTCTCCAAGGGCGTGGGTCAGGGTTGTCCCTTGAAGGAAAGGAGTGGGAGGCATCCTCCTCCAGCCCGAGGGGTTCAGGTGAGGGGGCTGGAACAACAGATGCTGGCCACCCCAGCCCTGGCCCAAACCGTTTTCAGGGCACAGGCCGCCCGGTTCCGGTAGAGTGTGGCCAGCAGGGCCTTATCCTTCGTCAGCTTCAGGGCCTGGTTGTAGCTCTTCTCCGCGGCCTTGTAGTCCTGGACCTGGAAGTGTTGGTTCCCTTCCTCCTTCAGCTGCACTGCCTCTGCCTCCGCCATCTGCCGGGAGAGGAGCAGCTCAGTCTCACCAGCCCCTCACTCTAGATGAGGGCTAGGCTTCTGGTCTGGGGTCCAGAGCTCCAGGATCTTCTCCTCCTCCAGGAGACCTCAAGGGTGAGGATTCTGCCCAGAAGGGACCCACCCCAGGACTCCCAATTCCATTGCCCCAGAAGGACATAATGGCTCAGAGCCTGGCCCAGGTTGAGAGGGGTCCTAGAGTCCTTGTGCCTGGTCCTCTGTCCCTCCCAGCCTGGGCAGGTGAAGCCCCCCTCCAAAGGCCTGAACTCTCATTGCAGTTCCTCCCAGCCCCCCCGTTCGCCTTCCCCAGCCCAAAGAACACTCCTGGGCCCAGCTCACTTTCTCAGTGAGGACGGAGCTCTCCTCGATCTGTGCTTCTGTGATGTGACCCTCCAGCCAGCCAGCCGGGGTCTGCCCCTCCCAGCCCCGACCCAGGAGACTTTATCGCCCTTGCCAGTGGTTCCAGACCATATTTGGCCACGGGGGCAGGTGCCCCTGGAGTGTGTCATTGATACTGTGGGCCCTCCCCCTCCCCAGACAGGACAGTAATTATCACATGGAGGGACTGACCATCACCTGCCTGACCACCCTGCTCAGGGGCAGTCCTGGGGGCTCAGGCACTCACAGACCAAAGAGAGAGGGAAAGATCCAGAAGGCACCGGAACCCCCCTAGCTGATCCCCCTCCCTAGGCACAGCTATAACACCTCTTCTCCTCCTCCATCCCAGATAAACAGGCTCCCCGCACCCCCACCCCAACCACTGCTATTTTCGGAGCAGGGTGACAGCTGAGGGGCTGGCCGACTTGGACACACAGAGCAGCTGCTCAGGTCCCAGACCAACTGGAGACTTCCAGAAATGCCTTTCTGGAAGGAGGGGGAGGGAAGGGAAAGGAAAGTTCCCTCCCCCTTCCACGCGTCTACAGCTCCCCAATTCCTCCTGCCTTCACTTGCTGAAAATGTCCTTGCTTTTCAGAAAGACCAACAGGACTTGCTAACTCAGTGGAGTGTAAATGGGTTTTTGTTTGTTTGGGTCTCATGTCTCCTGTTCATCTCCATCTGTATCCAGCGAATATAAGTTACCAGAGTCGTCAGCCCGCCTCTCCATCAGACTGGTAACTCCTTGAGGATGGACTCTGTATGTCCTCCATCAGACAGAAATCTTCCCCCAGGCAAGAGCTTAGTCAGACTGGAAATTCCGAGATCAAGGACTGTATCCCCTTATCCAATCAGGAACTCTCCTGGGACAAGCTGAGTCTCCCTCATCAGAAGGGGGTCTTCTTGGGGCACGAACTATGCATTCACCATCAGAGAGGGGGCTCCACTGGGGCAAGAATTGTTTCTTCTCAAGAGACTGAGGGTTCCCAAGGCAAATTTATAAGGTTGTCTCCACCTGGACTCACGACTCCCCTGCCTTTCAGCGTTTCCAAGCCTGGACCGTGAGTCCCCTCCTAGAGGGAAGGGACTACGTCTCGGTGCAGCTTGGCTTCCCTGGCACAGGGCCTGGCAGTCAGTGCCCATGCATGCTTCTTGAATGAATGAATGAACAAACAGTATCTTCGTGCTAATACTTTGCTCCACTCACCACGATTCTTCTCCCAATGCCCCACCCCCAATATAGCTGCAAACTTACCTGACTGGGCCTGAGAAAGAGACTAAAGAAAAAGCATAGGTTGGAATCACCCACACTAAGTTTTGCTCTTAGCTCTGTGACCTTGGACACACAGCTATGTGACCTTGGACAAGTTCTACTGCCCTGCTGGACAAAGGGCAACCTGACCTATGTTTGTTACATGAATGAACAAATGAATGAACAGATGGCTAGATGAATTCTTCACCCTAATGATGTCCCAAGTTCCTTTGAGGGCAACCTCTCTGTAGCAATGAGGTAATATGATAAAGAATTCTGCCATTGGCAGAGAACTTCACTTTTGTGACTTTAAGTCCAAGTAATCCTAGATTCAAATCCTGATTGTGTCATTCATTACACAAGCATTTCTTAAGCACCTATTATATATCAAGAATTGTAAATGATAATGGAAGCAGAGAACACTCATGAAGTTAAGGATTTGTGTCTCTTTTGTTCACTTATATACTCCAAGTGCCTAGAACAGTGGGTGGTACATAGTAGGTGCTCAATATTTGTTGAATGATTGGATGAAATAATTTCACAGATCGTGATTTCTAAGTGTGATGAATGCCAGGATGTTCTGGAAGCATAACAGGGAAACAGGCTGTAGTTTCAGAGAAAGTTTCCTTGAGTAAATGATTAGGTGAGTTAATATATGTACAGTCCCTAGAACATGAGGCTGGCAGAGAGTAGTGGCTCAATATAAATTTGTTGAATGAATGAACGAATATTTAAGGCAAGACTTGAAGAATGAGGAATGCTTCCAGAAAGAGAAAAATAAAAATGCAAAGCACTGAAGCAGGGAAAGTCAGGCCTTGGAAGAGACAGAGGTGGCTAGAGAGATATGCAAGACTGAGTGGGCCAATATAAGGAGTTTGGTTTCTTCCTGCATATAAAAGGGAGCCACTTCAGGATTTTAGGGAGGGGAGTATTGAACCAGAATTTCAGTTGGAAAAGTTCACTCTGGCTGCAGTGTGGAGAATGGATTGTAGAAGGAAAGAGTGGAAACAAGGAGGTACATCAGGAGGCTATTGAATTGGTCCGGGCAGGAAATGACGGTGACTCAGACAAGAGCGTGTAAACAGGTGTGAACAGATTCAGTCCTCTGCCATTTCCTGAATAGGCTGGGTTCCAGGAAGCAGTACCCCCGCAGGGGAGGTTTACAAAGCCAGAGATAATACATTGAGTTGAAGGCAGAAATTATTATTTTTCAAATGGATCGAGTCAATTAATACTTGATGAGTTCAAAAGCAAAACATTTCTACAGTTATCAACATTGTAAAGCAATAAATAATGATGATGACAGCAATGTTCCAGGCATTGTTCTATCGCTGATTGGGGGGAAAATCATTTAACCTCTCAGAACCTCGGTTTCCGCATCTATAAAATGGGGCAAGAATGCCCGCTCTGAAGAGTCAAAAGTTGTTTGTATCCCATAAGGCACTGGGAGAGACTGAAGGTGGAGGCGGCTGAAGTGAGCCCCACCCCCACCCCCCGCCCAGGTAAGCCCATTTCCAGCACCTGAGGCCAGGAGCGGCGCAACACTTCCCCTCCGGACCACCAGAGGGCAATGTCGCCGATTGCAGCACCGCCCTTCCGCGGGGGCGACGCTCTGTCCCGCCGGCGTCTTTCTCTTCCACGTGGGGACGCAGGATGGCGGCGGCCGTGGCGGTGGTGGTGGGTGTGCGTGAATGGGGGCGGAGGCCCGCGCAGCTGAGAGATGGCGTTCTGGGTCCCTGAGGCCGGAGGGAGGTGGAAGCGGGGGCCTCCCCGTCTAGCGGCTTGGCTGACCCCCGCCGCGCGTTTCTGTGCAGGGCGAGGCGGTGGCGCGCGACGTGCAGCGGCTGCTAGTGCAGTTCCAGGATGAGGGCGGACAGCTGCTGGGCGCCCCGTTCGATGTGCCAGTGGACATCACCCCAGACAAACTGCAACTCGTGTGCAACGCTCTGCTGGCCCAGGTGAGCGGCGGGCAGGCACGACTCCGCATCTCGTTCCCCTGCGTGGGGCGGGCGGCGCTGTCTGGGCCGCCCCCAGACAGGAAATCTAGAGACCGAAGGTCTGGCGTTGAAGGCCTACTGCTCCTACTCGCTAACAGTGGTTGATGCACTCCGTTGAGTCCGCGGCGGTGCTGCCCACCGCTGGGGAGGGTCGGAAGATGTAATCTGTGAAAGCGCTTTACACGCCAACCATGTAGCATCCACCTGCGGAGAGCGACCGTATTTTAAGCGCGTTGAATGCATTATCTCATTGATTTCTAGCCGCAGCCCCTGGGACACGTTAATATTCCCATTTTACTGTGTGGCCCGGAGGGATTAAATTATTTGCACGATACTACACAGTAGGTAAAGTCCCTGGGTGGTGTAAATGTTTTGTGCTTGAGTACTAACCTAAAGGTTGGTGGTTAGAACCCACCCACCGGCACCGTAAAGATTACTGCTAAGAAAACCCTAGGGAGTAGTTCTGTTGTGTATCGCCATGAGTCAAATTGACTTGATGGCAACGGGGCACACACAGTAGGTGGTGGATGTGGAATTAGAACCCAGATCTCTCAGCCTCAAAACCCATACTCTTAACCTCTAAGCCAGTGTTTCTCGAAGTGCTGCCCTCAGATCACGTGAGGGGTGGGGAGTGCTTGTTAAAAATGTAGTTCGTGGACCCCAACCCAGACTTACTGAACCAGATTCTGGGGGTGAAACAGGGAGTCTGCGTTTTTAACAAGATTTATGGATGCTTCGTTACACGTTATATAACATAGGGTGGTGCTTTGAGAAACACAGCATAGTTTTATATGCTAACCCTAATCCCCGACATTAGTTTTCTTTTTTGAAGAGCACTGAACAACGTGAATCCCTTAGTCATGATAAACAGGACATTGGGCTAGTTAGTGTTACTTAGTTGCTCCGAGCCTCAGGTTTTTTCATCTGTCAAGTGGGGATATTAATGTTTACCTCCCAGGGTGGTATGTAAATGTATTACAGTCCCTCTTCAAGGATTAAAAGGGTCTTGCTCAATGGGGAGTGATGGGGGTACCCATGAAGGGTGGCTGAAGAGAAGGAAGTTTCACCTTCCCACAGCTCAGCAGGCAGCCTCCCAGGTGGAAGGCTGCCCCTGCACATCCCTTGATGAGGGAATTGCACTTGCCCTCCAGGAGGATCCCCTACCACTGGCTTTCTATGTCCACGATGCTGAGATTGTCTCCTCGCTGGGGAAGACTCTGGAGTCGCAGGCGGTGGAGACGGAGAAGGTCGTCGACATCATCTATCAGCCTCAGGCTGTTTTCAGGGTCCGAGCAGTGACCCGCTGTACCAGCTCCTTGGAGGGTCACAGCGAGGCGGTCATTTCCGTGGCTTTCAGCCCCACGGGGAAGTAAGGACAGCGGCAGAATTGGGGAGGGGAGTGTGGGGGGTACAGCCTCTGGCTGGGTGAGGAGGGTCCGCCTGAGTTATGATCAGTACCATCAGTACCATGGGCTCAGGGTGTGAGTGAGTGGCTTCCCCGTGGCCAGTGAGGCTTGGTCCCCAAGGCCAAGGACACCTGCCTTGGAAGAGCCCTTCCTGGACTTGATATCAGGAGATCTGGCCTACCAGCTCGGCTCTGCCCCTTCCTAACTATATGACTTGAGGAAGTCACTTAACCTTTCAGAGTTAATTCTTCATATGTGAAACCAGAATTATTTGCTTCTCACAACTCCATGAGGATAATGAGAAGCTTCAAAAGCTGGTTATGCCAGGGCCATTCCTTTTAGAAAGGAAGAGGAGAGAAATGGCCTCGTGGGGTCTTTTTCCAGATGGAATCAGTGTCATATTTCTCCCTTCTCAGGGGAGAGAAAAAAGTCCAGTCCCAGATTCTGTTCACAGGAGTCAGGTGACTGGGTGGTAGGGATGTACAGGTGCAGTGTCTCAGGGGTGGGCCACCCCTCCCCCCCACTGCAGAGATTGAGCAGCCTCTCTTCCCCAGGTACCTGGCCAGTGGCTCTGGGGACACCACTGTGCGCTTCTGGGATCTCAGCACTGAGACACCACATTTCACATGCAAGGGTCAGTATGCCGTTAGCCATTTAGGGGGTCTTAACGCAGTGGTGGGTGGCTGATCCACTCAGCTTTTTAGTTCCTGAGGTGGCCCAGAGCAGAGTCCAACCCCTTAACATCCGGTCCATACTGGATTCTCCTGTGGGACCCAGTCAGTGGCTCCTTGTTCCTAGGTATGGACCGTACCCTTGAGCCTAGCCAGCGCTTACAAACTGCAGAGAATGGACCAAAGAGCCAACATGGGGTGGCGGGGAGGGCTGATGGGCAGATAGCCAGGAAATCCTGGGTTCAGTCCAAACTCTACGCAGTGGTCCTCACACTAGCGTGCATCAGCATCACCTGGAAGGCTTGTTAAACTACGCAATGCTGGGCCCACCCTAGAGTTTTTGTTTCAGTAGGTCTGCTGAGGGGAGGTGGGGTTCTGAGAATTTGCATTTCTAACAAGTTCCCAGTGATACTTTGGGGACCACACTTGGAATAGCCACTACAAAGAGTTTGGCTGCTAACTAAAAGGTCGGCAGTTCGAGTCCACCAGCCACTCCTTGGAAACCCTATGGGGCAGTTCTACTCTGTCCTGTAGGGTCACTCTGAGTCGGAATCAACTTGAAGACAACGGGCTGTACCACGTACTAGCTGGGTGACCTTGTGTAGGGCACACTCCCTCTCTAAGCCTCAGTTTTCTCATTTGGCTAATGAGACTGATAATTCTTGCTTTGCTCCATACCTTAGAGCTGTTGTGAGAATTACATGGGGTGCTGTGTATGAAAAGACTTTGTACCACGTGTCATATAAGGAATTATTAGAAAGTGATGTTATCTGCAGCAAGATGCACAACTCTGAGCACTTAGGTTGTGTTCTCCCCATACCTAGAAAGCCTCATTTCCTTTTTTTTTTTAAGGCACTTAAATTTATTTTTTTCACAGTTCTGGAGGCTGAAAGTCCAAAACAGGGGCGCTGCCTTGTTGCTAGCCCCAGGCATTCCTTGTTCCTTGGCTGGTGGCCCATCAGCACGTAGTGTCTGTCTTTCCTTGTGTGTGCGTGCCTCTGTGCCTGTTACTAGTTATCACTGAATCAGGGTGACTTATGGCAACCTTGTGTATAACAACACAATGTCTGCCGGTCCGACCTGTGCCATCTTCGTGAACATCACTATGTTTGAGTCCATTGTGGCTCATTTCCCTTTCTCGATCGTTCATTTATTCAGCAAATAGTTATGGAGCGCCTGCAATGTGCCAGGCACTGCTAGCACTAGACAGATGTGGTCCTTCCTTTATCTCTACCCTCTTAGGACACAGACACTGGGTCCTTAGCATATCCTGGTCCCCAGATGGCAAGAAGCTGGCTTCCGGCTGCAAAAATGGCCAGGTAGATGGTGGTCAGGATAACTAGGCAGGGGCTGTGGGCCCCTTTGCTGGGGGAATGGTTCAGAAACAGGTTCTAGGGGGTTCAGGGAGGGTTGGGTGGGTGGTGGTAGATGGGGGACCTTTGGTGGGGCCAGGGACAAGTTGGGGAGGGTCATTTGGTAAGCTTCTGTTCTTCAGATTCTCCTGTGGGACCCAAGCACGGGGAAGCAAGAGGGCAGGACCCTCACGGGCCACAGCAAGTGGATCACAGGCCTGAGCTGGGAGCCCCTCCATGCGTAAGTGAGCAGTTAGAGCTGTGAGGGGGGCAGCGTGCGGGCTGTGGTGACTGAGGAGTCAGTGGAGACAGTCTTCCACCTGCACCGCTGCTTTGGAGAAGGCTGCTCTTCACAAGGCCTGAGAACCGCTTGCAGTGCAGCCAGATCTTGGGGTTAGGAAGCTATCAGATTGTCGCTTGCCTTTGAGTTGGGAATGGGAGGAGCCATTGGAAGGCAGGCGTTGCCAGATCAGAAATGAGGTCACAGCTCCCTTCTTCCCACTAGGAACCCCGAGTGCCGCTACGTGGCCAGCAGCTCCAAGGACGGCAGCGTGCGGGTGTGGGACACGACCATGGGCCGCTGCGAGCGCATCCTCACTGGGCACACCCAGTCGGTCACCTGCCTCCGATGGGGAGGGGACGGGCTTCTCTACTCGGCGTCCCAGGACCGCACCATCAAAGTCTGGAGAGCTCACGATGTAAGAGCCAGCAGGGTCCAGCAGTTGATCTGGGAAGTCTCAGGTCATGGGATGCCAGCGCTGGAGGAGCCTTGCTAGCAGCGAGCCTGGTGTTTCTCACTGACCCAGTGTCCTGCGATTAAGATCACACTGAATGAGGGGTGAAGCTGGACCGGGGTCCTGATTCTTAGTCCCCATGCCACCACATGTCACATCTTCTGGAATTAATATGGGGGTCCGGGTCCCTCAAGTGTGGAGAGTGGTGTGTGTGTGGCTCTGTGTCTGGGGGTGCAGCTTTGTGTCTGACCTGTCTCTCTCTCTATTCCAGGGGGTGCTGTGCCGGACTCTGCAAGGCCATGGCCACTGGGTCAACACCATGGCACTCAGCACTGACTATGCTCTGCGCACAGGGGCCTTTGAGCCAGCCGAGGTCTCAGTTAATGCCCAAGACCTCCGAGGTTCCTGTGAGTGAGCAGAGAAGGAGGGGAGGGGGCTGCTTGGGAAACAGCCGGTTCTCTTGCTTAATGGTGTGAGTTGGATCATTTGTGTTGGATTTTCTAATAAGCCTTGTTCCTCATCTCCTTCTCTCCCCCCTGGTACCCGGACACAGTGCAGGAGTTGAAGGAGAGGGCCCTGAGTCGGTACAGCCTTGTGCGGGTGAGTATGTGCTGGCTGCGTGCCTCCCCGGCTCTGTACCTCTTCCTCAACTGGTCCCCAGAGCACTCACTCTCTGCAGTCACTCAGGCCCCCTCCCTTCTGGCTGCAGCTCAGAGTGCACCTTTTCCAGAAAGTTATTCTTGATTATCCTACTTTACAATCCTAAAATCTTAATGCAGTAGGGATTACTTTGTCTTATTTTGTTTTGTTTATTTGCTTATCTGTTGCATTCCCAAGGTGCCTCTCTTTTTTTATTTTATTTAAGTTGTTGGTTAAGTAACACATTCACGTGGTCTAAGGTTCAAAAGATACAAAAAGGTATACAGTGAGAAGTTTTCCCTCCTCTGTCCCATAGACAGTCTATTCCTTCTGGAAGCAGCCAACACCACCAGTATCTTCCAGAAATTTTATGTACACACACGTATATATGCACAAATATACTGTGTTTTTACACAAATAACGCACGCCTTCTGCGTTTGTTTGCTAGCTGCGCCCTCCCCTGGTGAGGTATTTTTGTAACTGTGCTATGCTAATTTGCTTTTACAGCAACATGTGGGACAGAACTGGCATGGTGGCACTTGTGAGGGTGCCTCATAGGAGGAGGGTGCAACCTGCAAACAAACGCAGAAGGTACACATTGTTTGTGTAAAAATACAGTACATACAAACACATGTATAAACACATATGTATGCATATCCAAACATAAATCTTTCCCGTCTTTAAACATCACTCCATACCTTGCTTTTTCATGTAGCCGTATATCATAGGAGTCATTCCATGTGAGTACCTAAAGTTTCCTTTTCCCTTTGGGGGAGTGACTTGCTTGGTAAATGAATGATTTATAAGGATCAGCACAAAGCTGGTTCCTATGAGGTAGAGGTTAAAGATGTCCCAAATGTCCAACTTTTCCAAACTACTGTCCCTCCATCATCTCTAATATCAACTACTCCCTGTCCCCTCAGCACTCTCCCTCCCGTCTGTGGTAATTTGCTGCACCATCTCACAGAACTCATGAACTGTACTTAATGTTTAAGTGGTTTATTAGGGAAGTAATGGGGTACAGCTCAGGATCAGGAACAACTCAGGATATAGTTATTGATCAGGACAGCTTCTTCTCTCCCTCTGCTGCTGGGCCCTGCTCGGGGCCTTCTCGGACAAGTGTTAACAGCTCTTAGCTCTGGGTCAGCAAGCCCCACCATAGCCGTCTCACACTGGTCTCCTGGTTCCTGCCAACTCACGCTCTGCTGTTGCTCTTACTACTGCAGCACCACCATCTCTCGCTGTCTTCCGTGTTACAGCTCCTCCCTCTCTGTATCTCCTTTTAAGCTTAGCGGGATGGGAAAACTGACCAATCCCCTTGTTAGAGTTCCATATACCTTATTTTCATGGTCCCACCCCCATGAAGGGTTCCATGCACCTTATTTGCATTAGCAGCACACTGTCCAATCCCCTTGGTGTGCCAAAAGCACCTTATTTGCATAGTCCCACCCAGTCATTGTATGAGAATCACAGACTACGGCTAGAGGGGCTGTGCTAAGTTGTTGACTGTAGCATACCTAGGGTCCCATGTGAGTTAGTGGTTGGCCCAGGCCTCCTTTCTCCTAGTCCTGGCCCCTGTCCCTGGTGTTGGGTAAGAAGTGGTGTGCATTTGCTCCTGAGTTCAGGCTTTCCTCTCTGAGACCGTATCTGACACTGTGTACTTTCTGCCTGCCCAGGGCCAGGGCCCAGAGAGGCTGGTGTCTGGTTCAGACGACTTCACCCTATTCCTGTGGTCCCCAGCAGAGGACAAGAAGCCCCTCGCGCGGATGACGGGACACCAGGCCCTCATCAACCAGGTGCTCTTCTCCCCTGACTCCCGCCTCATCGCCAGCGCCTCCTTCGACAAGTCCATCAAGCTGTGGGATGGCAGGACCGGCAAGTGAGTGGGTGGGGAGAGGGTAGGAGGAGGGGTAGTGGGAGGAGCTCGGCTCTGCCGCTTACCAGCTGTGTAGCCTTGGGTAAGTGTTTGTATTTTCTGAGCCACTTTTCTCTTCTGTAACATGTAGGCAAAACTGCCTACCTGTCAGCTTTGTTACAAGGATTAACTGAGTTGGTATATTTAGGGTCAGCACTAAATGGGCACTGAAAACATTCATTCATTTCATATCTAAGGAGAGAAATGATCTTAACACTGGGGAAGTGGCAGGTTTGTGTTCTCACTGGTGTCTGACTCTCCTCAAAGTGTGGTCCACAGACCAACGGCATCTGTATCACCTGGCAGCTTGACAAAAATGCAGAGTCTTGGGCCCCATCCCAGCCCTTCTGAATCAGAACCTGCATTTTAATAAGATCCCCAGGTGATGCTTCTACCCGTTAAAGGGTGAAAAGTACTGCTGTAATGAGGCTGCATGTACGTGGGGTTGGTTAGGTTGGTTAGGTTGGAGGTGAGGCAAAGGCCTGGGCAGATGAGAGGGAACAAGGGAAACCTCTCTGGGCCTGAAGGGGAGCTGATTTTTGAGTGCCCACTATGTGTGTGTCAGGCATTGTGTATCTCACACAGCAACCCTTTGAGGTGGGTAATTCAGTTCCTTGTTAAGATTAGGAAACTGTGGCTCTGAGAGGTCTAATGGCTTGTCCAAAGATAGAGCTAGTCTCATGCATCTGATGTGTTGGGGAGGTGTGTCTGGTAGATTGGCTCAGCAGTTGGTGGCATCGGATTCTACGGCATGCGGAGTCGTGCAGGTAGGGAGGCCTGGCAGGAGGCACACTAGAAGCAACTCATTTGGGGAAATTGTATACAGTAGTGATGATCAGTAATGCTTTTACATTGTTCTGGGGTGGGAGCCTGGCAGTGAGACTTTATACAAGTTCCCAAGGTCATGCTCACGTACAGCCAAGGTTGAGGACCACTGAGCTGGGCTTGGGGGACCCTTCAGTCCATGTTTGAAGCTCAAATAGCTGTCATCCTCTTTCCTGGCTCAGGTACCTGGCTTCCCTACGGGGACATGTGGCAGCTGTGTACCAGATTGCATGGTCAGCCGACAGCCGGCTCCTGGTCAGCGGCAGCAGTGACAGCACACTGAAGGTGTGGGACATAAAGGCCCAGAAGCTGGCCATAGACCTGCCTGGCCATGCTGACGAGGTATGGCCACCCTTGGGCAGGAGTGGGACTGAATCCTGGTACCCCTCAGCCTTGGCCTGCTTCCTGCCCTCTCCTCTAACTGTCTCCCTGCCCACTTCCCCTCCTGCTCCTCGCTTTAGGTATATGCTGTCGACTGGAGTCCAGATGGCCAGAGAGTAGCAAGTGGTGGGAAGGACAAGTGCCTCCGGATGTGAGTTTGGGGGAAGTGGTGGCTAGTGTGCTTGGCTCTCCTGCCCTGAAGTTGGTTGCTCTCTGCAGCCATTCCCTTCTGGCGTAGAATTCTGAGGGACTCTCTAGTGCTCATGCTGCTCTGAGGTGGTGTGTGGAGCCAGGCTCTCAGTGGGCAGTCGGAGGCCTACGGGGGTTTCGGGAGACCCTGCCAGTACTCAGGCCACTCTCTAGGGGTGAGTCCATGGCTCTTTCCAGATTGTGGCCATAGTTCTTTGTTGGAGCCCTGGACTTTGAAGTCTTCAGACCTGAGTTCAAATCCTGGTTCTGCTTTTCAGTGTACGATCTTGAGGAGCTTGGTTAATCTGTTTCTTGGGAATTATCAAAGCTCAGCAGACTGTTGGGAGGATCAAAGATAGGAGGGGGAAGACACTTTGGGACCCGAAGCATTGTGTACCTGTAAAGGGTTGTCAATATCACCGGACACCTATGGTGGGCCTCCCAGGGCCCTGGGTTGAGGGCCTGGCTGAGGCAGGCAGTGGGTGTGCAGCCTGAGTTTGGGTGACCAGAGCAGAGATGGTAGCCAGGATCTTGCTGAATGTGAGGGTAAACCACAGGCTCTTCCTGCAGTGGGCTCCTAGGATTATATGGCAGCCTCCCTTTCCTGAGGTGGGATCCCTGTCCTGACTCCCTCCTGTTCTTCACAGATGGAGGCGATGAAATCCCACAGTTCTCTCTGACCCCCACCTGGACTCAGCCTCTGCCAGCTGCCTGCCCTGACAGATCAAAGGCAGGGGTGGCAGTTCACATACCCTCGTCCCCAGAGGGGACCCTAAAAACAAGTGTGTCCTACTGTCCTTGGACAGACCCCAGTGGGATCTCCGGCAGCTCCCCTGCCTGGACCACCCAGAGCTGCAAATTGAAGTCCATGGGGTGTCATTGCTGAGCTCAGCTCTTGACCATCACTGTTTACTTTCCTGGAGCTGAAGGAAGGCCGACAGCAGGGCTGGACCTCTGCTGCTCCCTGCCTCCTTTTCCAAACTCTCTTGAGGATTGAATCTCACATTCTTTGGCTAAATAAATAACTTATATTTTGTGTGTTGAGGTTATAACTCTGTCCTAGAATCCTAGGGCTCAGCCAAGGACTGTGCTGAATCAGTTTGTCTAGCCTCCACCTCTGCACTAGACTGCACCAGAACCACACTGACAAGGAAGTGGCTTCCCTACTCCCCCTGTGCCTGTAAGGGAGAGGCCACCCAATCCACCAGTTGAGGCAGGGGTGAGCTGGCTGAAGCCTGTATAGTGACCAGAGGATCATCTAAGGCTGTGCTGTCCAATATGGCAGCCACTAGCCACATGTGTCTATTTACTTTAGCTAGAATGAAAGAAAGTTAGAAATGCGGCTCCTCAGTCCCTCTAGCTAAAGGCTGCTGACTTGAACAGTGCAGATATAGAATGTTTTCATCATTGCAGAATTCTTTTGGATGGTGTGCTCTAGGGGGTGCAGTCCTCGGCCTCTCCTGCAGTCCCTGCAGTGCACTGAGCCCTGTGCTGGGCTCTCAGGATACAGAGAAGACAATGGCTGGCCCAGAGGACTCTAACAGTGGAGGTGGTGGGTGTGTGCAGAAGGGCTGTGAGAGGACAGGTTCTGTTGCTCCATGAGATCTTGGAGGTAATGAAGGGGATCCCCACCAGGACATTCTCACCGTCCGTGCATCCTGTCCCCACTTCCTCCTCCATCTGATGCTGATACCATCTACTCAGGTTGAACTTCCAAGCCATCCTTGTCTGAACTGCTCAGGGTCACGGCACTTCTGCTGTCTGGTTCCATCTCACTCCCCAGCCCCATCTGTGCTCATGGTTTTGCAGATCACCTAGCTGCTGTGGTTCTCAGTTTCCACCTGGCACGTCTCTTGCAGTGAGGAGGCTGGACAAGGGGCAACGGACCAACAGTGGCCAAGCTCCTGCTCAGGGCCAGGCAATTCTCTCCTATGGTCCTCACAGGAACCCTGCAGCCATGCCTGGAAGGTTTTCACAGCTTTTTTTGATGAGGAAACCGCCCATGAAGCTTAAATGATTTGCCCCAAATCCCTATGGAGCACAATTCTACTCTGACACACACGGGGTCGCCCTGAGTCGCGGTTGACTTAACAGCAACTGGTGGTGGTTACATCCAGTAAGACTAAGAGCTAGGATTAGACCCAGATCCTGTCCCCAAAGCTTGTACACTTTCTACTACATTCTCCAGAGCTTGGTTCCTGCACTAACAGTCTGCAGGCTGCCATCACCTCTGTCTAAAATGGCTGTTTTTCCTGGTATCAGTGTTTTTAGCCTTTGGGTGCCAGTCTCTTTCTCCCAAAGGGAAAAAGGGGATGTTGGCAGAGCCAAGCAGCTGGTTGTGATTGCATCCTGTTGCCTGGCCACCCTTGTTTCCCACCTACCCACCCACCTGAACTCTCGGTCCTGGCAGAATTAGGAAGATGGGTGGCAGCCTCCCCAGCTGAGACTGTCCACAGCATGAAGCAAATGTAGGGGTGCTGGGTGACCTGCAGTTCTTTAATGAGGAACCTGGACCCAGCCCAGATACGGGGAGCAGGGAGACTAGCAGCTGTGGGCAGTGGCTGGGCCTGGCTAGCCTGAGATGTCCCCAGGTGAATGGGTCTCCTGTTTGGCCTTGGCCCCAGCTTAGGGTTGGAGTGGCAGTACCACTGCTGCCCGGGCCTGGGCCGGCAGGGTTGTCAATGGTTCCCTGGTATGGTGCTGGTGGTACGTCTCATGGTTCTGGTTCCTGAGGGCCCTGGGCCAGAGCTGAAGGTAGCTGGGAGGATTCCTGGGGCCCTCTCCCTTAGTAGGGAAATAGGTATTCAAGATCCTCTAGCCTCCGCATCTCATTGAGCCCGATGGTCACAGTTTTCCGTTGGGGTTCCCTGCGCTGTACGGTGATTTGAATGGGGTTGTTCTCAGGGAAGCTGTTCAAATCAGTGGCCACGGTTGCAAACTGAAACAAAACAAGAAAACCACTCAGAATTCCTTCCCACACCTGAACCTGGCTCACTTTTTGTCTCTGTGGTTTGTCTGATAAATGGAATCTTAGTCTTCTCCAACCTATTCGTTGACAGAGAAAACAGGTCCAAAAAGGGTTCTTGAATTGCTCAGGGTTACCTAGCTGATAGCTGACAGAGTCATGATTCAAACCTATGCCTCCCAAGCTGTGTAATGTTTCCAGCAAAGGGCTATCTGAACTCAGGCCTCTTGCCCCCACTGTGTCTACCCCACCTCCAGGCTGTTCCTTCTTTGTCCCCTATTAGCCTCTTCCCTGTTTCCCTCAATGCCCTTGGCTTCCTGGTCCACTCACAATTACTGGTACTGAGTTGTGGAATCCCGAAACGAAGGGTTCTGGAAGATTGACATAGTGATGCTGCATTCCTAGTGGGCCGCAGAATGGCTTAATCCTTAAACTTCCCAGAAGAAAGCCAAGAATTGCTTATCTGCTCCCAACGAGGGAAAGCTAGCAGAAGGATGAATTATGGGGACATAGGGGTGTTCCCAGCCTCCAGAACCCCAGCTTTCTGGCCAGACTTTCTGTCCCAACCCCCCTCTTCTCCTAGGGCTCACTTTGTAGGGCTTGCACCACTTCCCCACCCCAGCTGTGTTGGCTGCGCGGACAGTGAGGCAGTAGCTGGTGTTAGGCTTCAACTCCATCAGCTTGACGGTGGTGCCCAAGATCTTGTTGAAGATCCACGGGCGATTCTTTGTCTTGGGTAGCTCATTGTCCTTTATCTTGGCCGCCTCCTGCAGCAGGACCTGGTAGAAACTGACCTGCTGCTTGCCCAAGGCATAGGTCCAGGAAATCTGGGGGAAGAGAGCCCCAAGGCTTCCTTAGACCTGGCCTGACTTACCCCTCCGCCCCCACCCAAATTGTTCAGAATGCCCCCACTGCCATCCCTGCTTCTGCTGGAGCTGAAGCAGGTCTGACGGAAGGGGTAAGACACTCCAAAGTTGGATGGAACCACTTAACCCCATCCCGAGGATATGCTGTTCTCCCTGGTAGCCCCACCTACCTTAGGGTGCTCCCTCAGTCCATATTTCTTATGGACTCTAGAGTCCGTATCAATTGGGAGGGACCTTAGAAATCATCTTGTCCACCTAACTCACTGCAGATGTGGTTAGAGGGCCAGAGAGGGTAAGTGACTTGCCCAGGGTTACACAGCAATTAAGTGGTGGAGCCAAGATTCAAACCAGCTCCCAAACCCATACAGTTTGCACTACAACAGTGGTTCTCAAACCTAGCTAAGTATTTCGGGGAGTTTTTGTAACACCTCAGATTCCTGGATCTGCCATCTCCTGTCTGGTCCCCTATTTCTAGTTTCTTCTCCATCTAGGCCAGTGGTTCTCAAACTGGTGTGCATCAGAGTACCCTGGAGGATTTGTTAAAACACAGATTGCTGAGTGCACCCCCACAGTTTCTGATTCAGTAGGCCCAAGGTGGGGCCGGAAACTTGTATTTCTAACAAGTTGCCATGTGATGTTGATGCTACTGGTCTGGTCCCTTGTCCCCCAGAGTCTGAGTCAACAAGTTTGGAAAGGGACTGAGAAAGCTGCATCTTTAATAAGATCTTCAGATGATTCTGATGCAGATGTTCTGAGAACCACAATTTGAGAAGGCCTGGTAAAACTTTAAGCACCCCCACCCACAAAGTGGGGTGCAAACACCCTACAGAATGAACACACTTTGAGAAACACCGCTCTAGACCACCCAACTATGGGGTTTCCAGGTTTATCTTCCTAAAATACAGCTCAAATTACATCCATAGCCTGATACAAAGCCTTCAAATGTGCCCTATTGCTTACAGAAAAATCTATAGAGTAGCCTAGCATTGGAGGGGCTCCATAAAATGACCCCAGACTAACTTTTCCCTTCTACTCCCCTCTATTTCCCCTTCCCGTGCTCTAGGACCGTGCTACCGAGCATGTGGTCCATGGACCAGCAGCATCAGCATCTTCTGGCAGTTTGTTAGAAATGCAAATTCTCAGGCCCCACCCCACACCTAGTGAATCAGAACCTCAAGGGATGAGGCCCAGGAATCGGGGGTTTAACAGGATGATCGGGTGATCTAGCAGGTGAAAGTGTGAGAAGCGCTGGATTAGGACCTGGGATCAAGCGAGGCTCCCGTTTCCGCCCACGCTTTCCCACCTGTGAGCCACTGCCAGCGTTAGTGCCTCCACAGAATGCCTGTCCTCCTCCAGCTGACAATGTTTAAGTCCTACCTCTGTGTCCCAGCTCAGATGTTAACAAAAACCACCAAGCTTATTCCTGCAGCTGGAAGTCATGTTTCTTTGCCTTTGAGTTCTTGGTGGCCCTTGATCTGAACTTTCCCTCTAGCACTGAGCCCTTTCTATCTTGCATTGGATTCTTTAGACACGCCCTTTGTCCCTTGCTAAACCATGAACTTGGGGTTGGGATGCAGGTCGGAGACAACTTCACACTCCCCGTAGAGGTCAGCTCAGTGTCTGGCACCAGAGGCGGTGGGGTGGGGGGTGCGTCCAGCAGGCCTTTGCTGAGTGCGTGAGCAAGGGACACCCACCACAGCTGTGGAGTCGCTGACGGTGTGTTCACAGATGAAGGGAGCTTCAGGCACGTCCACAACCACAGAGGATTCAGAGGGCGTCGAGGAGGTGTCTGTGTCCAGCTCAGGGTTGTCAAGGTCCAGCAGGCCCCCAGGGACCATTTGGGCCCGAGATTGGCGGGTGCAGAGGGCCAGGTCCCTCTTTTCTGCATTCTTGGCCAGTGAGGAAAAACTGAGTCTCTTCAGCTCCCCCTCCAGCATCCCTGCAAAGAAGCTGCTGTTGGGCTGGGTGACGGCCAATTTGATGGGGTTCAACAAGGTAGATGAGATGGGGGAGATGCTGGTGTCGTCAGAGCTGCATTCGGAATCCTCCACTGGCATCGGCTTCCTGGAGCGGGAGGGGGAGACAGGTGAGCAAGGTGAGCCAGGTGAAGGAGGCCACCCCAGCCCATTCAGCCTGGAAGCTCCCTGAGGGCAGCCCTGGGCCTGACTCCCCAGCGTTGCCAGTTGCTTCTGAACAGCTCAGAACATCATTCTTGCTCTGCAGCAGTGCATCAAACCCACCTGGGTGCTTTAATAAAAATGCAGATTCCTGGTCCCTTGCTCCAGATTCTGAGTCAACAGGTTTGGGATGGGTCTGGGGAAGCTGCATGTTTAATAAGATCCTCAGATGATTCTGATGCAAATGTTCTGAGAACCACAATTTGAGAAGCCCTGCTAAAACTTTAAGTCCCTCCTCCAAAATGGGGCACAAACACCCCAGGGGATGACCAAAATGACCTACTGGGGTGTGGAGGAATATCTAAAAAGAAAATAATAAATTAAGCTTTACTACTATTCATTTACAATTTAATAAAGTATTTACTAATATTTTATTTACTTACATTTAAAAAACATTTCGCAGTATTTATTTGCTAATATATAATGTGAAAGTTAGCAGTGGTGCAGATAAATATACACATGTTGGGGTGAATGCTCAAAAACTCTTTTCTTCCATTCTGATTTTTTTTTAAATTTATGAAATATTTTAAATATCTACAAAGATATCAAGAATAATATGTTAAACTTCCATTTACTCATCATTCAGCTTAAGAAATAAAACTTTATTGGTAAATTAAAGGCCCCTGTGTACGTCTCTTCCCCACTACATTCCTCATCCTCCTACCCAGAAATCACCACTACAATAAGTTTAAGTTTTTGTGTTTATTATTCCCCACTTGTGTCTATGGGTTTGTTACATATGTATGTTATCCCTAGGCAAGATCTAGTATTATTTTACAAGCTTTTAAGCTTTATGTAAGTGCTATTATTCAGTACATATCCTCTGCAACTTACTTTTTATCACTCAACATCGCGTTTTTTAGTTTCATCCTATATTGATAGATGTAGCTTTGGTTCATTCATTTTAACTGTTGTATGGTTTTCCATTACATGAATATTTGTATTGTTTCCAGTTCTTTGGTATTGCAAGGAAAAGCCTTGTACACGTTCCCTCTCTATTTAAACATTTTTTTTACCAATGAAGTACACAATCCAAGAAGTTTGGCTTTCAAATCTCTTTTTATCTTGACCCAAAGTAAAAAAATACATTTTATGTGGCAACCTGATACACAGACTCATATAACTATATATAACTAAAACGAATGTTTTGCAAAGCAATTATTACTCTATATGTGATGTGTTCTGGAATTTTCTATTCTATTTGATTTCATTTTTGTAATATTGGTCTCTACCCACTAAAATAATTTCTTGACCCATGAATGGGTCACAATCCATAGTTTGAAGAGCTCTGCTCTTGAAAGCAGTCACAGGACCTTTAGGGGTCAAGCGCCTTGACCAGGTCCCACAGTGAGCTGGTGGCAGAACTGAAACTAGAACTCAGCTCTCCCGGGCCCCATGCTTTCCCCAGGCCATGCAGCTCCCATCTGCCGCCAGTGCTTTCTGGCTTCTCTGCCTCCTGCCCCAGCTCCAGCCTCTGGATCCGTAACTGCAGCCAGCCTTGGGCTTCATGGTGGATCCTGTGGGCCCACTGATCTCCTCCCGAGAAATCCAGATCAGCTTAGATCTCCTATACTTGCCTATGGTGGACATTTGGAACAGATGATCCCCCCATCTGGGTCCTTTGTAGGCTGAGAAGTCTGGGTATTGATGTCATTTATACTTCAGACTGTCCTAGTGAATTTATAGTTTGGATCCACTTATTGGAAATGCTGGTGCTAAAGTGGGCGTGGAAGGCAACCAGGCTCTGGGCTATACACTGGACATTGACTAGTTCTGATCTTCCCAACAGCCCTGCCACATGGGTGTTAGCCTTTTTTTGCAGATAAGGGACGGAGCTTACTGATCATAATTAACTTGTCTAAGGCTGTGTGTCTAAGTGGGCAGTAGAACTTGGATTTGAACTCAGGCTTCCCCCCATACCATGACGTTTCCTATAAGCACTCGCCACTTTAGCCAGACCTGCTGGCTTACAGTTCCCTTAGGGAATGGATACCATGCTCTTACCCTCTCATAGAATCAGGACCAGCTACAGAATTTGCGAGACTCAGTGCAAAATGAAAATATCGGTCCCCTTTTAAAAAATTATTAAGAATTTCAAGACAACAACAGCAGGGCATTCAATCAAGCAGCGGGCCTTCTAAGCAACTGCACAGGACACACACTCTTGAAACAGGCCCTGTGTATGATTCCCTCAGCTGCACCACCCCACCCTCCACTGCTTTGCTTGCAAACTCCATCCCTTTCTTGGAAATTCAGCTCAAATATTATTCCCCCAAGAAGCCTTCTTTAACTGACCCTACCCCTAAGCTATACTGAGCTCCCCCCCACCCACTGTTTCCTCAAGGTGTCCTGTCTTAGCACCACCTATCGGATGTGCTGTGTCATTCTCATTACTGCCTGACCCCCACCCCCTCCAGACAGGGAACTCCTTAAGGCAGACCCGTTCTTTACAGCTCAGCATTCCTGAAACTTAACACTGGGCCAGGCACCTTGCAGGTGCTCAGAGAGTTTTGGGGAATGAAGTAAAGGAAATCAGAATTAGTGAGGAGGAACACTAAACCTCCTTCTGAGGGAAGGCAGGCTATTGGGGGGACATATTATGCAGGTGAAGGCACCAAAGAGGGAAGATTGAGGGAGAGGAGCCAGGCAAGAGGGCTGAGTTTTTGGGGGTGGGGTGAGGACTATGGTCAGGCAAAGCAGGAGGAACCCCGTCAACAAATCTCTGACAAATCCAGGAAGGCTTCCTGGAGTGGGAGGCCCATGTGCCCCCAAGAGCTGATTTTGGGCTCAGGAATACATAGACAGGTCCAACCCCACACACATCCTCTTGTCTGGGAATCCAGGGACTGGGTTGTGATAGATCAAGTCACTCTGCCCACCCCTCAGCTCTAGCCTTTGAAATAAGGACCAGACTCGGGTCTTACGGTATATTGATGGTATCTTCCTCCAAGAATTTAACCAAACTGCCCCTTGAGGAGAGTGGGAGTCCTTTGGTAGTGACGATCTGGTTCATAGACTTGGGGTTTGGAAATGACGTCTGCATTTGATTGAGTGCATTCAAAATATTGAGGTTTTCCTTTTTCACCATGGCCTCCTCCCCATCTCCCACTTGATAGAGTGCCTTTGATGCCATCTGGTTTGTTTGGGACCACGGCCGTCACCGTGCAGGACAACCAAGCTGACAGGAAGCAGAGAGAAACTGTGGGTGCAGCGGACTGACCCTTAGTTTGGGCGGGAGGGGGGTGCAATGAGCTGACTTCATAATCCTCAGAGAGTGTAACAATTAGAGGCTGGCCTCCCCCTTGATGAGAGGCTGCTGCCCAGCCTGCTGTGGGGCTGGTCAGACCAAGGGCCAGCATCCAGAGTGGGGCAGAGCCAGGGAAAGGACTGCGTGACCTCTTTCTTAGGCCCTTCAGCTCTAATAGTCTGCCTGTACAGCAGCCCTGCCCTTCCCTGAAGATCTCACAATGCTGCACACCTGTGCCCCTCAGCTCTGCCCTGGGAAGGAAGAGAGGGCTGGTTAGAGAGAGGAGTTTGGGCATGGAGGGAGGCAGCTGGGGCCCTGAGAAGTAGGCAGTACTGGCATTTTCTGGGGTGGGAGACTTTGTCTATAGACCCTAAGGCTCTATATCCTGAACTCCTAGGCAGTAAATCCCCTTGATGTCTAATCGTGTAGGCAGAGGGAAAGCCCAGGAGGTTCATAGCTCACATGTGACCTGGTTGTACTGCTAGAATCCTAAATGGGCCACACCCTCACCTCCCAGTGCCTTTATGTACTGAGTGACAATGGTGGGTGCTACAGAGGGAACAAAGATAAGCCAGACATGATCTCTGCTCCCAAGGAAACCACATTGCAGTGGGAAAGCTATAAACAACTTGGTGGGGGTGGGAGAATGGGGGTGGCAGGGAGCCAAAACAGCACTGGCTTTGCACTTAGATGTGGATTTGAAGTCCACCTTTGGCAAGTGACTGAAACTCACTAAGCCTCAGTTTCCTCATCTGTGAAATGGGGATAAAAATAGCACCGCTCTCATTGGACTGTGAAGGGGTAACCACATAAAGTTGTTCTAATTTCTTCTAGCTGATACGCCAAAGCAAAAGCCATTTAAAAATACCAAATCATATTTTTTGTTTTATATAGTCAGGCTTTATTTTCATAAAAAAATGAAATTTGGAAAATACAGAGAAGTGAAGGTGCCTCTAAGTGCATTGCTTCTTCTGTAATTATCTGATTTATCTGTTTGATTTTTTTTTCAGTTTGTCTTTCACTAAAATGTAAACTCTCTGAGGATAAGGATTTGTCTTATTTTAACTTTTTGCCCCCGGCATTTAGAATGGAAGCCGGCACAGGGGAAACTCATTGATTGGAAGTTGTGTGTGCGTTGGAGAGGGAGACGGGGTGGGAGGGGAAAGGTGGAAGACAGATCCCGACATGGTGTGCGTGTTGTGCATGCTGGGCGATGTGTGGCCTGGTGTGCGCAGGGTGTCGTGTGACGCGTGAAGCTTTGTGAGTATGTGGGACAGGGGTGGCGGGGGAGCGATGGTGGTGGTGAAGGGTAGTGCCTCCGCCCCAAGCACTCGCGGAGACCGCGGTTGCGCCCCGCGCGGCCAGCAGATGGTGCTGCAGGCCAGGCCCACTCCGGGCGCGCAACCCTGGAACCAGGAACCAGGAAGCGGGCAAGCCCAGGGCGCGGGAGCGCGGGCCGGGTCCCAGCCCACGTGCCTCTGCACCGCCCCTCCTCCTGCCGCCGGGCCACCAGTGCCCTCTCCTGAAAGGGGAGCCGAGAGGCGTCTGGAGAGGACCTGGCAGTTTCCCACGTGACTGGCAGTCCCGGCTCCCAGTGCTGTCCTGGGCCTGCAGCGAACATGGGCGTGCTTAGGGCTGGACTGTGCCCGGGCCTCACCCAGGAGATAGTCCAGCTTCTCAGGAGTCGCGGAATCAAGACAGGTGACCGCGTGTGCGCGTTGGTGCGAGTGCCAGCCAGCCGTGTGCTCCACACCCAGCCTCCGCCGACCTGGCGTGCTTGCAGGGTGCTTCCCCTCGGCTCTTGGAGGGCCATTCCCCTCCTCAGCCCCCTCCCCCTTCTGGAGAGGCCCTCCCAGAGGAAGCGGAGAGCCTTTCCTGCGTGCCCCGCGCTTCGCCAGGTCTTGTGGCTTTATGATTTCTCGTAGGCCTCCTCAGACTACCTGCTTTGAGACAGAAATGTTACCCCGTTTTACAGATGAGGGAAAGCTGAGTGTGGGAAGCCACAGGTCCCCCTTCCTGGCAGTCAGCTACAAGTGTTTTGTTTTCAGTGGTGGACCTGGTTTCTGCAGACCTGGAGGAGGTAGCCCAGAAATGTGGCTTGTCTTACAAGGTGAGCTGACCATCCCCAGTCTCCAAAACCAGGGTGCCTTAAAATATCCATCTGTAAGCCAGGGGAGCAAAGGATTCCCAGGTGTTGATGGGGAGGTATGAGACCTTCTGGTGCCCCTCATGTGGGTGATTCATTGTGGGCTGCTTTGCATGGAGGTGCCCCTAGTGGATCCTGAGTTGTCCCCACCTGTTTGGCAGGCCCTGGTTGCTGTGAGGCGGGTGCTGTTGGCTCAGTTCTCAGCTTTCCCCTTCAATGGCGCTGATGTCTATGAGGAATTGAAGACCTCCACTGCCATCCTGTCCACGGGCATTGGAAGGTTTGTATGCGTATTTGGGGAAGAAGGTGGGAGGCAGGAGGATGAGGCTGTCTCTCAGACTCAGCTTTTGATGTTTGACTCTCGGCAGCGTGGACAGATGGGAAGGAAAGGGGTCAGGACTTCTGAGTTCTCTTAATCCTCTAACAGGTTTCTCAACCTCAGTATCAATTGACATTTGGGCTGGATAATTCTTCATTGTGGGAGACTGTCCTGTGCATTGCAGGATGTTTAGCAGCATCCCTGGCCTCTACCCACTAGATGTCAATAGCACCCGTTTCCCCAGTCATGACAATAAAAAATGTCTCCAGATACTGCTGAACGATTGCTGGGGGTTGAAATCACCCCTGTTTGAGAACCTCTCCTCTATAAGATGTCAGTATCGTATTATTATCCAGCAGAATAGAGCAACTCTCCTCTGGCCTACTCCCACTTTAGTTAAGGGTAGAGTGAGAGAGAACATGGTAGGAGTAATATTTATTGAGTGTCTGCTATGAGTGAGGAGTCCCTGGGAGGTGCAGACAGTTAATGCACTCAGCTGCTAACCCAAAGGTTGGAGGTTCGAGTCCACCCAGAGGCTTCTTGGAAGAAAGGCCTGATGATATGCTTCTGAAAGAAATCAGCCATTGAGAAACCCAATAGAGCACAGTTCTACCCTGACACACACGGGGTTGCCATGAGTCAGAGTTGGTTCAAGGGCAACTGATACTAGTACTACATGTAAGGCCTTGCCTTTAGGTCATATGTGATCTCTCCAGTGACCCTATGAGTTGGTAATTATTAACCCCACTTGAGTTTACCCTAGAGTTGCAAATGGCAGAGGTGGGACTCAGGCCATGGTGTATTTGACCCAGAACTCGGTTCATTCACCATAGTCTGCAGTAATAGGGAGTGAGAGAGCTTACGTAAAGGAATAGTTAATATTTTCCCACGTTGTTTGGAGACAGAAAGAGTTGGAAGATGACAGACGTTTTCTGGCCAAGTAAATCTGACCTCTTGCCTGGCCTGTTTGTGTAGAATTTTGATGAATAACTGCCACCACAAAGGTCTTTGGCTTGGTTTGGTGCTTGCTGTTTCCATGACACATTCTGTTGGCAAGGTTCATACAGTGTGGTGCTTGCTGTCCCTGGTTGGGGATCCAGCTCTAATTCATTGAGCATTGGCTGAGTGTCTGCTGAGTGCTCAGCATGAGGTTTGTTCAGCAAACCTGGTTGAGTGCCTGCTGGGTACCAGGCACTGCTCTGGAGATACATGTACAGAGGAGGCAAGGCTTCTGCCCTTAAGATGTATGGGGTCTAGTGAGTATGGCAGGAAGGCAGGTGAACAGGAGTGAGAGGTGTAAGCAAGTAGGGAGGTAGCCTCAAGGAGGGAGTGATTAACAGGAAGCAGAAGACTTGGCCTTTGGGCTTAGGGAGCTTATGAGCCCAGCGTACACAGAGGAAGCATTTAGGGAGCAGTCAAGTGGTAAACTGGCAAGATTGCAGCTGTAATGGGTCATGTAAGGGGGAGATCAGTGTGGGTTCAGGGAAGCTCTGAAGGAGGCTGGCCTTGGGCAGTGAGGAATGGGTGAGCTTTTGCTGAGTGCTCAGCGCTCCACAGTGCATTATCTCATTCATTTTTCATAGCCACCAGTGAGCCTGTTATGATTTAAACCATCTTATGGATGAGGAAACTGGGACTCAGGTTAAGTGACTTGTTCAAGGTTGCACAGCTTATAGGTGGCAGATCAGGCACTTGAAGTCATGTTTGTCACATTCCTAAATCTACGAGCTTAATTGGTGATCCTGTTATTTTCTGCTTTGAATTTTTTTTTTTTTTTAATGCTGTGTTTTCATTAATGGAAGTATTCCGAGTCATGGGGTATGTTTAAATTTTTGGTTGGCAGTATGGATTTTGAGAAATATCATCTTGGGCTACGTGGTTACCAGTCAGCATTTTGCATTCTTGAACCTGTTGATTGATGGGCAACTGTCTGTCCCAGTGAACCTTGGTGGCTGAAGATATGGTGGGGCACTTTCCATTAAGTTACTCTGGTTTTCCAAATATGATACACACACACAAAATCAAGCCCATCGGGGCTCCCTAACTATCACAAGGAAGCCATAAATATACTTACAAGGCTTATTTAGGAGTACAAAAGCCAGAAGAGACAAATTTTTCACCCAGTCACACTTTCTGGTTGAACTACCTTACTTGCAAGCCTCGTACTCCAGGTATTTTGCTTCAATTAACATTTTTTCTGCCTTTCACCATTATGCAAGTCCCCACTAAAGGGCAGCAAATACTTTCATTGGGAAAAGTATACTCCCACAGAACTCCAGAGGCATAAAAACTGGTTAGAATACCATAAGTCCATGGATCACCAAAGGGTTAAGGCATCTGCTCTGTTGCCTCCCTCAAGTTGGGAGGTGGTATTGGGAGAGTAGAGCAGAGGTCGTTGGGCAGAGGTGTGTAGGGCAGATGGGGCTGGGGAGGCTGTCAGGAGAGAGGCCAAATAATGGCTTGGTGGTGCTGGTGTGGGGTGTGTGAGTCCGATCTAGGGCGATGACAGTGGAGACGTGTTGCAGAAGAAACGTGATAGGCCTTAGTACCAGTGGGATATAGGTGTAAAGAGTCAAAGATGACTCCCTTGGTTTCTAGCTTTCCTCAGTATTATGTGGACTTTCTATGGGTTTAAGTTTAAAATGGAGGGTCGGGGGGGAGGGTTCTGTAGCCAGAGAGTTTGGGAAATGCTGGGTTAATCCAAATTAAACAAGTTTCTTTGCTGTAGGTCTTCTCAAAGCCTTTAGTGAGGATGTGCAGTGTGAATCTTTACAAGGGGGATAAGGCATGTAGTGTGCCTTGGAGAAAGCGCATTGATGGGGAGATTGGTTGTTCCTTGAAGGCCAGAGCTGTGTCTTGTTCATCTCTGTTGTTGTTAGTTGCTGTCAAGTTGTCTCTGACTTATTGTGACTCCGTGCCCAACACAATAAAATGCCGCCTGGTCCTGTGCCATGTCATGATCATAGCACTGTATTAGGCACTATTCTGTCGCTATCCATTGGGTTTTCATTGGCTAATTTTCGGAAGTAGACCATCAGGCCTTTTTTCCTAGTCTTGTCTTAGTCTGGAAGCTCCACTGAAACCTGTCCACCATGGGTGACCCTGCTGGTATTTGAAATACTGGTGGCACAGCTTTTAGCATCACAGCAACACACAAGCCACCGCAGTATGACAAACTGACACATGAGTGGTGATTCATCTGTGTATCCCCTTCAGTTTAGAATAAGGTCTTCAGTAACCGTGAGGCCTTCAGGTGATGTTTGAATGAATGACTGAAAGCCAGTTCAGAGAGGAAGGTGGAGGATAAATCCCAGAAACCACTTGTATTCCAGGCAGGTGTACTTCTGCTCTACAAGGCAAGTTGGGGGTCTCTCTACATGTTGCAGTGCTGAGTTAGAGGTGATGGGGGATGTACAGATAGAAAGGTCCTCTAGACAGTAGGAGACATGGAGCTGAAACCAGGGCTTTGAACTGGTTCTTCTGGGTACAGTTGTGGCCGAGGAAGTGACACCAGAACAGACCCAAGTTTTTAAAATTTGGGTGAACCAGAATGATAACTAGAACAGGAAAAATTACAGGCCAAAGCCCTGCTAGAACCCTTAATCTCCCTATTAGAAAGCAAGGGCAGCATACACATTGTGTAACAACCAAATCTCTTGCTCATTGGATTTTGAGCAGAGTCAGAAACAGTCGTGCCCCGCTCAAAGATGGTGGCCGACCATGCTGCTTTGACTGTGTGTTACTGTCCACAGTCATGCCAGTAATCCAGTCTCACACATCAGGCTCCTGAAAGGGCTCACTAAACCTCTTCTGAGTCTCCCATTCCAGGGCTTTGACACGTAATTTTTCCGGTTCTGGTTATCATTCTGGATCGTCCAAATTGTAAAATTTTGGGTATCGCTTCATGGGCCGTGACTGAATTGATTTGAACTGGTTCTAAGCCCTGACTGAAACACAAGTGAGAAGTCAGGGCTGGGGAGGTGGATTTGGGAATTCCTAATTCAGAGTGATACTTATAGCCAAGGATATGGTTGATTCTTGGCCAATGAGTCATGACCAGCAGTTCAACCCTGACTGTGTATTAGAGTCATCTGGGAAGCAAGGGTCCCACCTCTAGAAATTCTGACTCCGTTGGTCTAGGCCAGTGGTTCCCAAACTTACTGCACATTAGAATCACCTGGGAAACCTTTAGACATTCCAAAGCCCGGCACTACCCTAGGCCAATTAAATCACATTCTCTGGGGATGGAACACAGGCATTAGTGGTTCCACAGGTAGTTCCAATGTGCAGACAAGTTTGGGAACCACTGATACAGGCATCTTGTGAAAAACTCCCTGGGTGATTTTAAAGTGCAGACAGGATTGAGAATCACGAAGTCTGATCATTTTCACATTTGTGCGTGCATCAGAATCACCTGGAGGCCTTGTTAGAACACAGATGCGGGCTGCACCTCCCGAGTTTCTGATTCAGAAGGTCTGGGGTAGGGCCTGATAATTTGCATTTCTAGCAAGTTCCTGGGTGAGGCTGATGCTGCTGGTCTGGGGACCACAGTTGGAGAACCATTGCTGTAATAGACTGGATTCCCTGACCTTGGTGGGAGGGACAGGATCCAGGCGGGGCAGAGGCTGGATGTTGGTGCTTATTAAACAGCAGAGACAAGGTGGGCACAATCATCCCCAAAAGCCAGAGGGCTGGAGGGGTAACCATAGTATTTTGACTGGCAAGGACCTGTGGTTCTAATCATGGGGGGGGGTCCCTAGAACTGAAATAGACGGACTGCTTATCAAGGTGCTGCTTGGCATTTACCAAGAGGTCATGAGAGGCTTTCAAGAACCATTTCGGAGGATTAGGTCCCGTGGAGGTGATTGCAGAGTTAGGAAAGGGATAGGTGTGGTCAGGACATGGAGGCCTTGAGATAGGTGCGGTGTAGGAGGTGAAGCTGCAGCCCACAGATTGGGCAA